GACGCCCAGCTCTGAGGATGTCCATCAGATGATGGACGAAAGCTCAGCACGTTTTCATCCGAAACGAGAAAGAAAGTCTTGTGGACTGCGTTAAATAGAATATCGTATAATAGCCAACCGGCTGCAGTACAACGAGATTCATCCGTCCTCTTCTGGTGAGATCGAACGATGAATCTCTTCTTCGTGCACTTTCATACGAAATGGAAAATCGCTCCAACAATGTCATCTCAGGAGAATTATCGAAACTCCGTTTCTCTTCGTATCTACCTGCTATAGGTTGGAACAACTTGCCTGACTGGCGGCTGTGCGTGAGTCAATAAGACAGAGCGCCACACTCATGGAGGAGATGGTAGGCAGTAGACATTCCTCTGGCGAAATAGCAGTCTTGCCCTCGAGTCTGTCGTCTTGACGTGCCCTGAGCTCGAGCCCGACGAGATGATCCAGTCGCTCCTCCGTCGTCTGCAGCCAGGCCTGCCATTGCCTCAGACCGGTCTGATACAGACGTTCAACGCGCTGGTGTCGCGCCAGTCCGGCCTGTCGAGCCCGAGTCGTCAGCGCGACCAGGCGACGCGCCAGCGCCTCTGCCTCGTGGTGTACCATCGGCTCGCCGGACTCGGAGGCGGGCTCGAGCGTGTCCACGAGACTCGTCTCGTCGCCTCTTCCCCCCCCCGGGCGCCAGCCTGGCCGTCTGCACGTGACGTAGGCGTGTCTGGCGAGTTGGCCGATCTGTCGCCGCAGTCGCAACGCGCGTTGCTGGACGCCGAGCAGCCGCTCGACCTGCCGACAGGTCAGCACGGCCGCAGACACGACGCCGTCCTGTCCCTCGGCCTCGTCGGGGCTCGACTCCGAGGCCTCGCGGGTGACCAGCAGATGCAGCTCATCCGTCGCCGTCTCCAAGGCCCGACGTAACTCGTCCAGCCGGCGACGCAACCGATGCCCACGGGCAGTATCCTCGTGCCAGCCGGCCTCGAGGCGGCCGGCGGCGCGGGACAATGCCGCCAGCCGAGCCTCGAGTCCCGCCGTCAGGCCGAGGCAGCAGTCCCGGTCCGCCAAGTCGAGCCGGATTCGCTCGCGCAGCCCGTCCACCAGCTCCACGTGGTACCCCACCTCGGTCCGGTAGGCGTCGAGAAGACCGTCCGGCGACTCGGGCGCTTTCGCGTCGTCAGGTCCCGTCTCCACCAGCAGCCCGACGAGTCGACGCTTCACCGGCTCGGAGAGCTCGACGTCGCACCGAGTGATAGCGGCCACCGCGACCGCCGTGCTCGTGGAGACGGCGAGCTCGGCGATGGCGCGCTCGAGCCGCGACTCGAACGAGTCCAACCAGCCAATCACCTCGGCCTCGCCGGCCTCGACGTATGCCCAGGCGGCCTGTCTGCGCTGTAGGGCGCGACGAGCCGCCTCAAGACGTCGCAACAGGCCCTGCCAACGGGCCACTGCGTCGTCGTGCAAGTGGTCGCGAGGCGAAACCGTCTCCGACTCGTCGTCCCGCACCAGCTCGGCCTCAAAACACAGTTCACGATGCCTAGCAACGGCGAGCAGGCTTGCCTGATGCAGGCCCGAGAGGACGGTCTGTTGGGCGG